CAAACACTGGCTCTAAATAAGGACATTTGCATTTTCATGTTGGCAACTGTACTTAGACCCAATCCCAATCCCCCCCTGTCCACTACCCCTTAGCCCTTGGCCCTACCCCTAGCCATTACCCACTACCCCTTGGCCTTCGAAATGAAGCAACAAGGGGTAGGGGTTAAAATCTTTCCCTAGGAAATGGGACACCATTCACTATGTCACCACGTCGGTTACGTTGATGCATACGTAACCATTTTAAACAGGAAGCTGCGAGCCATCTACATTTCCAACCGGCATCTACAATGGAGTCTCCGGTTGAGTTCATCCTACCTATTGTGTTTGCTGTATTCATCATGCTTCATTTGATGAATGACAGATACACACCGAATTAAACACCGACCCTTGTTCACTCCACAACTCAACCAGTTTCTCCTCATTTTCCACACTATAAGTAGTCTGAGTGGGCGGAAGTTCGCTGTATAGATCAGCCTCTCATTGGGTGGAACGAGCCTGCTGAAGTCCCGCCCTACCATCTCCGGTTGTGTAGCAGTTTTCAACACGTCCTTTACTAACTTTTGCGGTGTTTGATCTTGTGGGGATGTAGCCATTTTTCTGCCATGGTTCGCATCCTGTAGGTGATATTTTTGTGGGCGTGTTACACCAAAACCTGTTTCCCCCCGGCAATATTTTTGCAAGCGCACCGTTGCTGTGGCACCGCCCAGAACGATTGTGATTGGTTGAAAGAAGAACATGCAGCTGGGGCGTTTTTTTTCTCCAATCTCAAAGTGAGAGTCGGCCCAGCCAGACCTTTCTTTTCTTGAGAAAGGTCTGGTGAGCGAGACTACACTATAAGAGAACCGAAACTTGCTCACGTCCCCTCCATGTTTAATATCTACCCGGTTTGCTGCTTCCTGTTTAATGCTGGAGAGAATACAGCTTTTGGTTGTTGACAATGTTAACTTCATTAAACTTCAGTATTTGCATAAGCCAAGATTAAAAGCTTAAAATAATATTAAACATGTTTGATTTTGTCAGAACGTCAAGGCGAGAAACAGACTGACTTACGACAGCTCAGGCTGAGTTTTATGACACCATAAACGGAACGATCAAGATCACGGGAGCGCTGACTGATGTGAAACACTGAAACAAGTTGTGGGAAGTTCCTGGAATACAATTAGTCCCTGATGTTTGGAGGAACCACAGCCTCTCCCAGTCATTCTGGAAAAAGTCATCCCAGTCATTTTCCATGAGCTCACCCAAAATACAATATCTGCCCGCGCCACTGCTGAAGATGTCAGAACTTAATACCCAGTCTCTCACGCTTTACATCGGTGCTACTTTTCAAAAGTTCCAGAAGTACCGTGATAATCTCTAAGTGAAAATTAAACCTGCGCTGGGAGCCTGACAGTCAGCGTCAATCAGTTGATTGAAAGGGCTGGATTTAACAAAGTGTGAGACAGGGAGGAGGAGATAATGGGCTGAATAAATTGCTGGAAGGGAAAGGATCTATTTGATGGCGAGCCTGAAAGCGGAGAGTGTGCTGTTTGTGTGGAAGCGCAGTTATTAGGACAGTGAGTTTAGAGATCACAGCAGAATACAAAAAAGAACAACAGCCGCCTACAAACGCATGAAGAATGTGGCACATCTCCCTTCTCTCTCCTCCTTTCTCTCTTTTACACTCTCATTATGTTTCTTAGCAAAAAAACAACAAGTGCAGCAGTGGTTTTCTATCTGGTGTCACTGCTGCCTGAGGGTCTGCAGGCTCCCATTAGCCCACCTTCAGCCACAGAGTGGGACGACTAATGAGTGAAATGAGTAGCTGTAGCATTTGGTCACAGGGCAAACCTGATGCATGACATGTTAAAAACCACCATGTTTCAGAACAGATTGCCATATTCTACGCAATCTGTTCTCATTAGTTTGTTCTCTCCGGTTTCAAGAGCCCACCGGTGTGTGCTTTAATACGAGGATTTACTGCGCGGAAGACACACAGCCATCCGTCTCCACACATCAACAGGTTAATGATCCCAGCAGACGAGAGGCTGTGACATTATATATGGACAATCCATACAAGAAAGGAAGAGGGGGATGTCTCTGAGAGGCATGGCAGCTTTTTAAAAAGGCCTCTCATCTACTTATGGTGTAACTGCTTTACTCACATACTGACAGGTCAATCCAATTATCCACGGACAACACTACATAAAGGTTTGTTTTGTCTAAAGAGGGGGAGCTGCAGGACTGCTCTCCTACAAATTTGATCACATTTAAAGTCAAGCAGAGTTCAGAGTCAGAGGCCTATGTGTGATGACAGGAGCTGGAAGGAGACAGCCTGAAATTAAAGCTAACAGCCTGACTAACTCCTGTAACACCCCGATAGGCAGGGGCTTAATTTACAGGGGGGACACAGGGGGACATGTCCCCTGCACATTTTCAGAAAGCAGTTTTGTCGATACCTCTCCACTTTATACAGACTGAAAACCAGTGGCGTACGGTAGTAAGGATGGGCCCCAGTGCACACTATCATGACAGACCCTACTGCCAGATTTTGTGTCGAAACATCTTCCGTATATTTTAAGTATTTAAGTATCGTCACAGGATCAAATACAGACTTGAACACTGGACGTCAACACACATATTACCAGCCATCACTACAAATTTATATATGACAAAAATGCCAAATAGAATAAGAAAATATTCATTAAATGGATTTTTAAATAGTTAATTTATAGTTTATGTAAATAAACATCATTTTGTTATATTTAACAAAAGAGAAAAAACTGACGGAGATGGGTTTGCCTTCTCGAGAGCTAATATTTTATTGTGTGTTCCTCTTTAAACACAGGCATATTTCTCAGGTGGCAAGTTGAATCGCTCGCAAGGGCCCGTTCTCTGCTCGAGAAAGAGCAGCCCCTCCAACTACTCTCTCTATGGGCCCCCTCACCCCATGGGCCCCAGTGCAACTATACTGCTTGCACTGTCTATATTTACGCCCCTGCCGAAAACTAATGTTATATTTTTACGTTAACAAAAAGATATGGAAGTTAGACTGGTGTTTATATCCTATAAGCTGTAGGACATCACATACAGACTGAACGGAGAGAACTGAAATGAGAATAACGTCAAAACTAATTCTGTATAAAATCTTTAAAAGTGGCAACAGTATCAGTTCAATCAAACTCAAGTTCGTTTGCCCACTCAGTGTGGTTCATTTGGGCAGGTGTGAACACAGCAATCACACTCAGGTGCGCACCAAAACAACCGGACCGAGACCTTCTTGAAGAGGTGGTCTCAGTCCGGTTCCAAAGGAACTCTGGTGCGGTTGGTTTGTGGTGAGAAGGTGTTCCGACCTGGATGTGAAGCAACTGCAGTCACATGACACATTGTTTGGGTTAAACATGAGCATGTTACAGTCCTGGAGGATTATTAATGTGCACCTCCTCCTGTACTGCCTTAATATGCACATTCAGCACATCCAATGCATCAAAACATTGTTTTCTAGTTGGAGCCGCGCCTCGTTTTCAAACTGTATGTTTTGACTAAAATGAACAATGACAGCAATATAGTCCATGATGAGCAGCGCTAAAATCAACCTGCGTAGTTGTCCCTCCATTGTGACATTAGAAAGTGTCACATTTATCTTGCAAGTGTACTCTTCTTCAACGTTTGCTTTACTTCCTGGATTTTTCCCACATGGAAATTCTGACCAATCAAGAGCAGCTTTCTCACACAAGGCATTTGATCTGGTCCTCTTGTAAATGCTGCCGTGAGAACATGAACCAACTCTAGGCAATTATACAATTCTGGAACAACATGAGTCCCTGATTCAGACCAGAGGAGACCACTCTAGGGCTGAGAGCAGCCTGAGAAGATTTAATGAATCATATGGAGACTGAATGGAGGGAACTAAAATGAATTTTGTTTAATTTAATTGTTTAAAATCTTTAAAAGTGGTAACAGTATCTATTATAGCAGAGCTTGGTATGTCTACTTTAAATGCTGTAAGAGAAGATGCATTCTGAAATCTTGAGCTCCATGTAGTTAAATGGGGTTAAAATGTTATTTTTCATTTATCTCCAAAGGTATAAAAAGTCTCTTGTCACTTGGAACATATTTTTCTTTATTGCAAGACCTTTATTGTTCTTGTGCAAAGTTTTTAAATCAATGTGATGGCCTGAGCAGAGCCAACATACCCATCAGTTAAAGTCAAAGTTACTTTCTTCTCTTTGTTCTGTATACATTTTGTATTTATAAAGACTTCTAGGCTTCATAACAGATGTTATTGCTCTGAGGTGTAGGGCAGATATCAGGGTACTGTTAGTGCAAATTTGAACTTAATGGAAGCAATAGGTGAAAAATGACATAAGATTAAATAGGTACCCCCACCATCTCTATAGTGATTTAATCTGCACCTTTTCACCTATGATATGAGTCAATATATTGATCAATTCCATCACTTTTTCCTCTTGTAAAATATGTTTGTTATGATCATCTATTTCATGAAGAGGACAAATCAAATTTATGAGAAAAACCCCCAAACATGGTTATATTTTGTTCTAAAAACTGAAGCCCTTTTGAGGGTTTGTGTCCCCATCTTTAAAATCTAATTTCCTCTGCCCATAAAACAATAACAAAACACAAGGGGCTACATTAAGTATCACAAGGACACTTCTGGAATCACTCAGCCCCTTCAGGAACATTACAGGATCATGTTAATGAATAAAAATCACAGTGAGGACATAATAAAAGCATTAAGTGGGCACCATTAGTCCCAGTTGCCCCTTTACCTCCCCCTACAGGGCGACCAGTGCGGGATGTCACAGACATGGAAGAAGTTTGTCACATGTATGAAAATAGACTGTGATCATTATAAAACACTTGTGTCTTCATTATTTGACTGTTGCAGTGTTTTCTCGTCACGGCTCCAAACGCATTTGACAATTTAGACCTCTTTGTGTTTTTATTAAAACAAACCCTGCCATTAATGTGATAAAAACCATCCTAATTATTAGACTCACCCAGTGTGTTGTTGGGCTCGTGTCCATCTGTTTCAGCCTCCTCGCACGTTCACAGCCCTCAGTATGCAGCATGCCTTTAAGTTTTCCACGCAGATGCTCTGGGACATCGTAGTACAATTAAGGCTGCGCTCAATTTGCAGCGCTCACGCGCCGCACGGAGTTTTTATGGCTTCTTAAAGTCGCTGTTTATACGTTCAAAATATGAGCGCGGAGTCCGCCGAGCCCCAAAAGACTGATTTGATCCATCGGAGACGCCAAAGAGGTAGACATGTTACTCCACAACAGCAAAGACTCCGTCACACTCTTCCTCGCTCCATCACAGGCGACGTGGCAGATGTTGCAGAGCAGTGTGTGTATGTGTGTGTGTTTGGCTGGGAGCAGGTGAAGGACTGTCTCCAGCTCACTGATGGTCACACCGCTCTGACTCTTCAAGTGCGTCCGGAGCTGCGCGCTCCGCGGTGCGCTGCGCTGCGCTCTGCCAAACTGCGTCTCTGGGAAACCACGACTGCTTCAGTACAATTCCACAGCGTCAGGGGGAGTGTTTGTTATGCTTTTCTTCTACTGTTATGAGATTAGCATGGATTCTAATTATTTTTCTCTTGCCTTGTGAATAATTTGGACTGCATTATCCTCATTATATCCTGGAACAAAACCTGCTCTAATCTTATTTATAAAAAAGATTTCTGCTTTGTAAAGTTTGTCAGTGACAGAAGCTTATGTAGGTCATTTAACTCATCATTTTATCTCAGCTTATATTATGTTTCATTGTTAATTTTATTTACTAGGGACCACACATTTATTTCTGGCACACTTTACTCATCACATTTGCTCTTTAACATGTACTCCCAAACTGAAAAAGACAACTGACAGAACTGTCTGACAGAGCTGAGATATGCACAGTATGTCAGCGTTAATATTGTGGCCGAGGCACAAACCACACTGGGCACAAAGTCAGAGGCAGACACACCCAGCTGATACAGTACAGTAGGTGTGGCTATGCAGACCAGCAGAAGGCAACCAGCTGAAAGCCAGTCTTAGAGGCTGGAGCTTCTCTTTCATTCCACTCCGGTCTGTCAACACCACATCAGCTCAGCTGAGTGTATTCAAAATGAGAGACAGCAGAGAGACAATAATTGCAGGAGTCTGACTGATGCCAAAGTAAACAGTGGTGATGGCAGTAGAAGCATCCATTTGCAGGGTATCTGGTTTGCTAAATGCCTGCTAACAGCTGAGGGTGAAAGCTGTAAATGTGGTGACATAAAAAATGACTCAGGCCAGATTTTAAACAGGAACAGTTTTCACTGACTAAAAATAGAAATGGAGGACAGGTGGGTGTTTTTAGGGGCTGCATGTTGCTTGTAGAAACAACCTGTCAGCCAAATGACAAGGTGTTAAACTTCTACTAACCTGGTGAAGTGTCATCGAGCAACACTGAACACCCACCAGTTTCAGGGGTGCTACTTTGAGTTTGACCTCTGACCTCTCTGTAAGAAAATTTGAAAAAACAGATCCACATGGAGGAAGTAAATCTAACCTTTACTGACTGGACTTCTTTTGGACAAAAAATAGTACATCCTTTAAAATCCACAATAAAGGAGGCTGAGTAGTTCTCTCATGACTAGTGAACTGACATTTATGTTTTAATTTGGTGGCATCACCCTTTAAAGGGGCAGTTCACCCCAAAATAAAACAAAAACAGTAGTAGTAGTTCTATGTATCAGTCCAGATTGTTTTGGTGTGACTGAGTGTTGGAGATATTGGCCGTAGAGATGTCTGCTTTCTCTCAAATATAATGGGACTAGATGGCACTCAGCTTGTGGTGTGCCAAACAAATATATTTTAAAAAACTCAACAGCAATGTGTCTGTCCAGAAATCATGACCCGGTTACTCAAGATAATCCACAGACCTTGTTGTGAGCAGTTTCATGTAGGAACTATTTTCTTTCCACCAAACTACGCACGCCAACTGGATCATCACACAGAGGGAAGTGTCCATCCGCTGATAGCTCACCTAGCACCGCTGAGCTAGCTAATGTTACAGCTCAGCCGAGGAGGACGCCATTCATGTTGTCACAAGGACAAGCCCCTCGTCCATGTGTAGATGCACGCTTCCTTCTGCGCAGTGATCCAGTTGGCAGGTTTATATCGACACACAAATGCACCTTTCACCGCGATTTAATACACTGCCAGGTGGGGTCAGTTTGAAACATCGCCAGCAGAAATGTAATGCAAAGTGCTGAAAAGTCCCCATAGGGCAGGCAGGAGGGGTGGTGGATAGGTCCACCAGACCTGGACTTTCACCCAAGAGCCCACTGCTCGCTTCACTTTTATAAGCAAAACTTAGTTTTTTTTCTAAAGTTATCCACATGCTTTTGTTTCATGAGGAGATAAACCTACTAACGTGGTGTTTTACAGACATTGTAGGTTATTTTGAAAGAGACTGTCTGCTGCATCTACTGAGCAGAAACTGTTGCTTCATGTAACAAGCGTAAACTGACATGATGTCCTGGAATGTCAACAGCAGGACAGAGGGGGTTATCTAGCGCGTTTTATTTAGAAATGAAGCTCTTGTGAAATTTCAGTGAGGAAGACAGTACTTTTCATACTCTTTAAGTTTCTTTCTCACCCTGCTGTTCACTCCTTGCACGCATGCTCACTCACATTGTCTGGGTAAGTTTCACAATCAACCAACAGCACAGTGACACACCTTCTCTGTCAGCCTATCATCTTACTGCTCCTCATTTTAGATATGGTTCTTTGGTCATGCGCACCCTCCACCTCCCCATCACCGTGTAGTCTTTATGGATTCATCAGCCTCATACGTCCCAGTAGTCAGCAGCCACCACCACCACTAGTGTCTGGACTCCATGGGGGGATTTTTCCTGCTGCTGCTCAAAATATCTCCCTCTGGTGTCAAATCGCCAAAGACTTCTGTTAGATTTTAATTAGCACCAATCATCTGTTAATCTGTACACTCATATTCTGTATTAAATATTATCTTAACTTCACTCTTCTGTCTTTCCTGATTGAACTGCAAGTCTACTGACGAAACGGTGATGTTTGACAAGCTGGGATGAGATCATACTGATGGATTATCTGGGTCATGATTTATGGCAAATTCTTTTTAAATCATTTTATTTTGACATTATCAGCTCCCCAAGCTGATTGCCATCTACTTCCATTATATTGGAGCAAAGGCGGACATCTCTACTGCCAATATCTCCAACACTTGGCAAGTCACATCGAAAACAATCAAGGCTGATAAATAGGACCACAGGGAAGAGAAAAAATATGTATTTTTGATTTGGAGGTGAACTGTCCCTTTAAATTAACAAAACTCCCAGCCTGCCCTCCATCTGTGCACATATGCTTCAGTCGTGTCATCACTTTAGAGCCTATAGACAGCATGACTGGACACAATCATGTATGGGTCATTAAAAAGCGAAGCACCTGCAGCAACCAATTCATTTACAATCATCATCCTTGAGAAGCACCGACTTTAAAGGGAGCTTATGTAACATTTGCTGTGGCAATTACAGGTAAGAGTAATAGTGTAGTACAAGTGGAGAAGAGTCATAGTAATGTGTGATATTCAGCAATATCTATCTGCAGTTTGCAAACACTGGCCACCATCATACCCGTCCAAGTTGGACTGTAGCAGCAAAACCCCTGAGTGCACTGATGAAAGCAGGGCTGTCGATCAGTAGCTGTGAATATAACTCTACATTTGTCACAAGGAGAACGTGTTATATCTTAATTCAAAAGTGACAAAGTCTTGCTTAAATTTAAATCAAGCAAGAATCCATTTTTAATGTTCTGTTTAAACATCATGGCACTTATTCTTTTTCATTTACTTTACTTTGACATGTCACTCCTGTCCGGGCTTTGGAGAGGAGCCGTACAAAGTGTGGAGTCTGGACCTTGAAGGCATCCAGGAAGAAAGATGGAATCCTGCAAAATAATCCTGAGTGGAAAATGTCCTGATTCGAATCAAAAATAACCCAATGAGATGACTCTAGGGAGAAAAGACCATAAAGATTTGATAGTGAGAGATCCTTTAAATTTGGGGACAGTTAATTGGACTTTTTAATGGAGCAGGGAAACTCACACAGTCAGCCAAAAAAGGAACCCTTCAGATGTCCCCTCGAGGAGTTTTGAACTCTGCAAATCCATTCCTCTCTTTGTTTGGGTCTCCGACTTCAGTTGGTGTGTTTCTACAGTTAATTCAAGCTCACATCAAGTTAAGAGATCCTCTCGGGCACCTTTTGTCTGCAGACAGACATTATTAATCTGCCATCCATTCCCTTGTATTCATCTCTCACACACAGGCCAGACTCCAGACTTTCTCTGTCCCACTGTGTGTTCTCCAAGGTGTTTTCAGTCCATGCCACTTGATGAAATGAAAATGGAAGTTTGTTGTTGTGTAAAGTCATATTTAATTCAACCATTCTGAGTCAGGCAGCTATTTTAGGTTTTCATCCATTACATGACAAGCGTACATACTCACGGCAGAAAGAAAAACAAAAACATCAGTACAATGAGTTTACAGTCTGAAAGATAAGAGTTACACTGATACAGCTATTAGCCGCTCTCCACAAGCGTCTGACATTGATGAATTACCATGCTTCGAATATGCTGCATCAGCCATGTGGGTACATAATAAACTTTGACTTCATCATCTCGGCTCCTTCCTCCCTCTATAGGGGGGATGAAGTGAGTGGGGCGCAAGTAACAAGCTGCTAAACCTGCAATTATGGCCACGACATGCACCTCACGTGCTCTCAAGCCTGAAGCTGTACTGGACTGGAACCGAACAATATAAGGCCTTGTTTTCTCCACACAGAGCAGGACTAAGAATTGTTTGTCATTTAATGATGCTTGTTCCCACTAATGGCACAAAAACAGACTTTCCTTGGACTTTAATGTCCAGTTCAGATCAAAGATTCGCCACAAGATGAGTTGAAACAGGTGACTTTTTGCAGTGTGTCGTTCTGCAAGGTTATTAAAGGGAAATTTCGTTTTATTTCAACCTGTCTCCTATCGTCCTAAATTTGTTTCAAGTGACTAGTGACATAAAAATAATAGTTAGCATATTAGCCATTAGCCTAGATACAGCCGGGGCGCATAGTAGCTTCAGACCTGTTAAAACGTAAGTGAACGGGCAACCTTCAAGTGCAAAGTTAGTCCACTAAACAAGCTTTTTTTCCACAAAGACCGCCTCATATCGTTAGGATAAATGTCAGAGAACATATAGAAAACAACATGTTACCATTTAGCTCTGCTTTCCAAAGCACGGCCGAAATATTGCAAGAACAAGCAGCAACAGCTGGAAGGCAGAACCGGACAGTATCCTGAAAAGTTCATTCATTTATTTTATTAAAGATTTATAGAATAATGGCTGACT